CGGAAGTGTGAATCTATTTTTTTGTTGGGGATACTTATAAATAATACCCAAAAAAACTTTTTTTTATTTAAATGAAGTAATTATTCTTTGCAGGAAACATATTATACTTTTCTTGGTTTTTAATTTTTTTTGGGTATATTTTGGAAGGAGGAGGAGCACGCCATTGAAGTTTGAACATGAGATCACTGTTTAAAGTTAGACCACTAACCCAGCTATGAATCCGTTAGCACAATTCTTGGTTTTTCAAAAATGCCTGCTTTTTATATTACAAAACCCAGTATAAAGACATTATTTTTCACTAAAACACCCAAAATGGAGGTTGAAATTATAAAAAAACCCAAGCACTATTTAAACATAGAAACACACCCAAAATTAACCCCAAAGTCAACTTTTTTGGTGTGTTTATAAATGAGTTTTGAGTGTGTATAATGATGGGTTTTGGGTGTGTTTATATGTTTAAATAGTGCTTGGGTTTTTTTATAAATACATGTTTAGGATTGGGTTTTTTTATAAATTTGTATAAAACATATCCCCACGTATATTTCGTATTTACCAAGTCGTGGTTCCGCACTAACAATAGTGCAAAAGCCAAGATCAATCTTTTTTTGGTCAAATAGATCAATCTAATTTGCGAAGAAATAATCCACCACTGGAAGGCCTCAAAAATTAAATGGTGCATTTGGTCTCTTTGCAAATTGCAAAGTTTCCCAAGTACCACAAAGTTCGACTCCAGGAAAGGACGGAAAAGAAAGAGGGTTCCATAGCCCACTCTAGATTTTAGAAAAGAAAATGTTTGTGAGAGAGGCAGAAAACTTCCCATCCAATGTCAAGTGAGAAAATATTATGCCCTTAATTTTTTTACAGCAGCAGGCAAATTAAAATTTGGAAATGTAAAGAGACGCAGAGAACGATTGGATGGGCAAAACGATTCTCTTGACCAACTTCACGTAACACTTGTCTATCAGAAATTAGAGGTTACATAATAACTGCATAAGTAGTTTGAAATGACCACACCTAGCAAAGAAATAAAACAACAATGACCCGATTTTATATATAGAAAAGCTGACTGATTGCCCTAACTTAAACAAAATTGTTGAGTTTCCAATCATTACAACTTCCGAAGTTCCTCAATCATCACTTTTCTTCTTCTTCTTCTTCTCTTTCTTCTTGCTTGGCGTATCAGATTCTTCTTCAGCTTGTTTTCTTTTCCTTTTCTTCTTCTCTCCGGCATCAGCATTTTCAACCACATCAACATCCTCAGCTGAATGCTTCTTCTTCTTCTTCTTTTCCTTCTTCATGGGTTCCTCTTCTGTTTCCACATTTCCATTTCTGTCATTTGACGCAGGCATGTCTTCATCATCAGCCTTCTTCTTTTTCTTCTCTTTCTTATCTTCTCCAGCAGGTGTCGTTTGGCCAAGAACAGAATCTGCTGCGGGATTATATGCCTACAGAGATAAGAAAGGGTTAAAATAATCAACTGACAAACTGAAATAAAAATCCCAAAGAAACATTTGTCAGACCTTGGCAGCAGTTATCAATCCTCCAGCTCCCTTCTTGCGATCCTTGTCGTAGACTTCAATCTTTGGTTTGCCTTTAGCTGATCCAGCAAACCGACCCAACTCTCTGCCTTCAAGATTCCTTAACCGTGCTTCAAGCTGCGCAGATGTTTATCTCTAAGCAGATGCTTTCAAAATACTAAAAGAAAACAATGAGCAAAAATAAATACCTTGGCTCGATTTTCCAGTCCCATTGTGTTATCTTGGTTATCTCCAAGAGCATCATATCGAATTGCTAATGCAGTTTTTGCTGCAAGTGAGCGTGATATTTTACCCTTGAGCTTTGGTGCTGCTTGACCAATCAAGGATGCATGGTAGATAAGCCCATATTTTGGTGTTGCATGCTTAGTCTTCAGGGCTCTGAAGAGGGCCTTTTCAGCTCCAAGAATCTGAACCGTGCTCCCAGGCTGCTTTGCAAGGTTCAACAAGCTACCACCATGGGCAATGAGGCGAGCACCAACAAGCTCTCCAACGAGAGCAGTCAAATTTGGTGCAATGGTGTTCATCCTGTTTTTTAAATAATCATATAGCTGAGCTCTGTACTCAGATAGAGAGAGAACTTGGTCACAGAGTTCTTTGATGTTAATCAAATCAAGCTCGCTAACTTCAGTTCCCATAGATATCATAGCTGCATCCTTCAATTCAGTTTCAACCTCCTCTGGCAATATCTGTTATAGTTTGACCAAGAATATGAGATTTATTAGCAACACAAAAAAGTGTGATGATAAAACACAACTACCCTTATATACCCATAGGCTCTAGCAAGGGAGATTTAGAACTTAATTATAGAAGATTTGTTCCCCAATGATGAATAAATGTTAACCCAGGAAAAAAATGTGTGATGGCAGCAACTTGGTCACAGAGAATATTCAACCATAGACAGAGGGTGGATACACTGGAAACCCATAGGAGATATTATTATGATTACAGCAGCAAAACAAATCACCAAATCTTACCTCGGAGAAATCAAGCTTTGCAGCATTGGCACGATAGCCCATCAGCTTCACTGCCTTGGCATACAGGATATTGTCCTGGACAATCTTAGCAAGCTCTGGAAAATGCCAACCGTACCATTCTCGAACCCTCATTGCATATGTATTTAGCTCTTTATCAAGATCATCAAGCAAACCAATGGCTTGAATAACCATTGTATCAACCTGGAATTCAGTAAATTATATTAGGTCTACAGAAACCTCCCAAAACGAAGCTATAACTTGAAAGAGCAAATTAATTTCAATTAGCCACAGTACAAAGTCCCGAGATGTCAATTCATAATTAAAAGCACACCTTTTCAGCACTGAACTTGAGCTTATATCGAGATAAACTATGGGATAAACCCAAGCTCATTGGTGCCAAATCTTGAACTTGCAGACCAGCTATGAGTTCAGTCAACTGATTTCTTACACCTCTCATCAACTCCATAACAGAATTGTTGTGAACGCAGTCTATTTTCTGCAAGAAAATACATGCACCGACTTAAATAATATGAAACATGAAAATATCAACTTACAACAGACCACTATGTACTTTATCATCAAAAGGTTTCACAACAGTTCCAAATTTCTCTAAAGCAGAGCTCTGGCATACCAGTTTTTCCTTGATGACATTTCCAAGCTTAGAATCTGCAACAGCCAGAGTTTCGCCACTGCAGTGCGCACGCAAGAACTTGCGCAGACCTTTGCTGGGTTTACTGTCAATCAGCAGGGTTGCTGCTTCCAAAGCTTCTGATGTATTCTCAAACTTGGAAAAAGCTTTCAGTTTGACAACCTAAACCAATGCCATGTACTGATTAGATGGATAACTAACAAAAAATATTTTGAAGCATAAATACAAGTAAAACTAATACACATACTACACACACATAAAAACACAGATAAACACCTGTCTAGCTGACTCTGCACTTGAAAATTCCTTCCATAGATCCTGCAATATAATTTAAGAGAGTCACGAAATCAGACCCAAGACTTAAAAGCTGAGATAAATAAAGTTGCAAACTTGCAAAGAAAGCTAGGATAAAAAATAAATAATGCACAGAAACATTTTTCACAGATTCCTTCACTCTTCTCAGACATCAAACAAAATACACACATAAACACGGTTTTAAGACAGTAATTACCTCAACTTGGGAGAGCTTCCCTTCATTCAACACTTTAAATAAGGCAAAGCCTGCCGGAGTTTCGAACAACACAAGCATTTTTCCAGCTTCTCAAACACACCTACACCAAAATACACAAGCATAATCACCCATAATTTTTTTTCTTAAAATCACACGGCAACTCTGATAGCAACAAAATATTCCTACTAATACACCCAAAACCCATCAAGTTCATACTTTTACTATGAAATTAATTGCCCCACTGATCATTTTTAAAATCCACAACTTTGCACAAGAACAAGAAAAGCCACACGAACGTGTATATACAGAGGGAGGTTTGTTCAACGACAAATAGTCATTAAAATCGTAATTTCTTACCTCTTTATGTGCGGAGCTGCGAGAGAGGGGGAAGGGGTAGAGGGGAGAGGGAGAGAGCTCAGAAGAGAAGGGTCTAGGGTTTATTGTTCCAGGTGTAGAGAAAAGTTGTATATATATATAGTGGTCTCTCTAGGATGACCCAAAAAAATGCACGACATGTTTATGAACGACATCTGTCACCGGCGGGGGGTACTCTGGGAATTATGAAAACCTATCTGGACATTTGTGCCCCAAGAGTTGTAAGAAATTAAGGTAATTTGTAACGTGGCAAGCGTGCAAGGCGGGTGCATAATGTAACATTGGGCATGTGATACATAGTTCTTTTTTTTTTTTTTAAAGTCGAAAACATGTGATACATAGTTCTTGATACACTAGGGTTTTTGGGGTTTTTCTCACGGATATTTTGTAGTTGGTTTTTTTTTTTGGTGTTTTTAACCTGTGAATTGAAAAATATTTACCAAAACATAAAGGGCTTGGAAATTTAGATCCCGACTGATTAATATCCAAATTTCATATTTCAAGTAGAAAAATATCTTAAAATTCTAAACACCCCTAACGTAATATATTGAAGTTTTAATATGTTTGTGAATACTGAAAGTAAACTGAAAACATTAGCAATACTGTAGCATGTTTAACACCACCAAAAAATAAAAAAATAAAAAAATGGTTTTAAACCTATTGTGCTAAAAAGAAAGTAAAATGAACACGAAATACATTTATTTTTTGAAAACGAAATACGTTTATTTTTTGAAAGATGCAACAAAAAAAAAACGAAATATAAAATCTTGAAAGGTTAATTTTTTGAATAATTATCTGCCAACTTGAAAGAGATTCCAAGTTCAACTGAAGAGTTAGTTGGTAAATTATGCAGAGTTTTGAGGAATAGGATAAGAACATTTTACTATCTAGTATCAACACAAAGCTATATATCTCTCCCCCTTTAGCCAGTACATATATCACTCACGTACTTCGAAAAATAAGAATGAATGTCTCAATCCTGATAAAGCTCAAAGAATCTGATCTCAAATTTATACAAGGAATTCCAAAAAAATAAAATAAACTACTGCTTTATTTGTAATTACTTTGCAGAAGCATCAATGGCTAACAACATAAACTACCAAAAAACTAATAGGACTTCTGTATTATCTATACTTGAATCATATATGAAGTTTACTAAGCACTCAACTTGCTTTTGACGTGTCTTCTTGATTGGTATCTTTCTTCTCCATGTTTGGTAACTCTCTCCTCTGGCTGGAGCTTGGCAATTTTCTTGCTGGTGGAGCTGAACAAACCGGTACAACTGATCTAATTCGAACAGCTGGTGCCATGAAGCTAGGTCGTAGTCCTCCCAGTTCTTTTCTTTCAGGCATGGGTGCAGCTGAAGACAAAGGAATCCCAGTTCTCATTCTTGGTGGAGCAGGAATCCTGCTTGGGAAATTTTGTGGTCTTGACCCCAGTGAAGAAGTAGGCCTTACAGTTCTCATTATTACAGGATCTGCAGCAAATTGTGGTCTTAGGCTTGTAGAAGTACTTACTCTTGGAGGATTTTGGGGTCTCAAATTGGGCCTACAAGAGTCAAAGCCATGAGGCCTTTGTAATCCAAAGTCAACTGGCTTAGAACTAGAATCCATCATCCTAGGGTGAGGCCATCCAAATTGCCCAGTTGGGTTGCATTCCAGCTGAAGGCTTCCAACTTTGCTTCCTAACTCACCAAGCTTCCGTTTCTCATCCTGAACTTGTTCCTGGATTCTTAGTTCAGTGCCGCTGTTTCCAGGACTAAAGGGATCTGACACTACAGATGGAGAGTACTCGGGTGATTCTTCTGGCTTTTCTTCCTGTATCTCTTGAATAGTCACTGTGGACTTGCCCCTGATTGGGTTAGGAACTAAATGGTTTGAGAAGCAGAATGATGGGCCTGATGTAGCAATTGTAATTCTAGGTCCCGCAGAGGTTGACTGTTGCTCCCTTGCTGGAAAGTATAGACGGTGATCAGGGTGGAGCACAGATTGCATAAATGGAAACATCTGAGGAATAGATGGAGTAGCTAGTGAAACAGGAAGCGGCAGCAGGCAATTTTGTTGCGGTAATAATTGCTCTTGCTGCCACAATTCATACATTGCTATTTCAGGGGAATAATTAGAATATGCCCAGTTCTGGAATTGCATAGGATATAAGCTTGGTGATGGCAGGGTAGATTTGTTGTAGATGGGAATGTATGTCTGCTGTCCATGTCGGCGATCGCTTTGAGTATTTTTAGACTCTGACGGCTGAAAACTTCCAAGAATACGAGCAATAATTACTTGTTCCTGTTCTTCATTGCCTCTAGACTCCGCTGAAGAAGTCGAGCCACGTCCAGCCACTGCATGGATAACATGGAATAATTTACATATATAGGCGTTTACCTTCAGTGAAGTAAATTACAGATATGAGCACTTTCCTTGGTTGAACTGGTAAGCAGCAAAATGCATGAAATAGTGCATAGAATCTTTCAAGGCAAACCACAACATGCTTGTTTTGTAAAGCACACTCAGAAGAAAAAGAAAACGAACAATAATGAGAAAATGCATACATCTTTTCAGGGCTGTCCAAGCAGCCATCGCAGCAAGCTCAACTGTACATGAGAACACAGGAACATGGCCTGGTCCAGATCGAACAGTCGTATAAACAGGAAGGTTCAACCCAGCTCTATGAGCAGTTTCCTGAAGCAAGTTCTTGTAAACTCCAGTTTCATCCTGTGCAGCAAAAACCACAATACTAATTATTGAACAACTATGCACTATCGAACTAAAAGAAGAAAAGCAATACAACTTTTGCTACTAACCAATACTCTTGCAGCCAATGCTCTGGAAGGGCCTCTTTTTGCAAGTGTGTTCAATGCTACTTCTGCTGCAGCATGTTCTGCCTGTCTAAGAGTAGAGCAAAATGTAGGACTTTCAAAAGTTTCCCCATTGAAGTTGACTGTTGATTTGAATCGAGGGGCATGGTCTGGACCTTCTCGGATGCATGAATAAGATGGCAAATTGAAGCAACTTCTCTGAGCCAACTCTTGCAATTGGTTCTTATACATGCCTGTGTATACATGAAACAATGTGGCACATGCCATGGTAGGTTATTTCATTAAATATACACTTGGTGGATGACAAGGGTAATAGGTAAACTGTTCCTAAATTTGCATCATTAGATGATGGTCAGATTATGTGATTTCATTACAATATCTTATTTGCATACGAATTGACATACAAAAATTGAAAAAACTTTTTGACACTAGAAAAATCAAAACTTCAGCCTCAGGTCTTGACTTGGCAGCAATTCTTGTGGGGATAAGTTTACAAACAGGAGCTGAGCTTCAAAATTCTTGTTACAAACTAGCCACGTCCTCTCTCCACAAGAAGACCCTCATCACCAGTAATCATTACAGGAGCATTTCCCATCAACAAAGTGATGGAAACGATTGGCATCTCTCACAATAAGTTTCCCCCTCACAATCTTGGATATATATTTAGTCACATTGCGACAATCAACACATACATGCAGATTCTTTGTGATCCTAATCAAGCTCCCAGCTGGTGTGCTTAAAAGTCCAAATGCAATGGATAATCTCTCACTGTGGTCCCATTGCAACCTTACCTTCACAGGCTCATCCACGTCACGAAGAACACAACTTGTATCAGGTACATAATCAGAAGCCTCAACTGCTACTCTTAAAATCTCCAAATGCTGATGAATCTCTGCCCAATTTGGATGTGAGTTGTCTCCAGCAAAAAATTAGTAAACTTGGTGTCCTACTTCAATCAAGCTACACCCTGGTTTTTTTTTTTTTTTTTTTTTGAGTCCCTTCGTCCTCATGTGGCTTCGAATATAATTTACAGAATCCCATCTCCTTGCTTGAGCATAAATGTTTGATAACACAACATAAATTCCAGGGTTCATGGAATCAATACAAAGTAATCTATCTGCTGTCTTTATACCCCAGATCAATGTTCTTGTGAGCGTGACATCCATTTAGCAATGCTTCAAGAACATAATTTCCTGGTTTATAAGGCATTTGCTCCATCAATGCCTCTGCTTCTTCAAATCGGCCTGCTCAGCTTAAAAGATCCACATAACCAGCATAGTGTTTTTCCGTCAGCACAATGTCAGGGTCTCTCTCCATGCTATGGAATAATTTGATCCCCTCTTCGACAAATCCTGAGTGACCACAAGCAGTTAGAAGAGAGAGAAAGGAGGTTTCATTTGGCTTAAATCCCTCATCCTTCATTCTTCTATAAACGCCAAGAGCTTGCAGTCCATAACCATGAATACCATAGCTTGTTATCATAGAGTTCCATAGGATAACATCTCTACAAATGGAGCAATTTTCAAATATCCTCTCAGAATACTTTATTTTTCCACAATTCGCATACACATCAATCAAGGCTGTCATGTTAACTACACCAAGTGCATGGACATGCCGGATTAAATTACCATGAACACTCCTTCCTTTCTTCAGAGAACCTAAATGGGAACAAGAATGGACTAAACTAACAAGAGTTACTGAATTTGCAGCAATTCCCTCTTCTCGCATCTGACAGAATCGTTTCAAGGCTTCTTCTGCATGCCCATTTTGTGCCAATCCTAGCAGCATAGCAGTCCATGTAATCACGTTCCTCTCTTCCATTCTGTCGAAGACAAAAGGTGCTTGCTTTATTGCACCACATTTAGAGTACAGATCAACAATGGCAGTGGAAAAAATGGGATTTAAATCAAAACCCCTCCGAAAAGCACAACAATGTAGGATTTTTCCACTTTCCAGATCAGCTGTTTGAGAACAGCCCTGAACAAGGTTCACCATAGTCCCAGAATCAAACCTACCATCACTTGTGACTAATCTGTGGAAGAAGACGAAAGACTCATGCACCAGACCATTGTGAGTACACCCCGATATCATGACATTCCATGAAACCAAATTTCTTGTCTGCATGGTCTCGAAAACCCAACAGGCACTTTGCATTTCACCCATATTACTATGCATATCAATTAGTGAGGTCCGTACCTCATTACCCATTCCCAGTCTAACTATGCACCCATGAACACATTTTCCAAGCTTGAAATCCCCACTTTTAATGCAAAATTGAATTATGCTCAACATAGTGACTAGATTTGGCCAAACCCCACAACTACACATTTGTAGAAACATATCAATTGCCTTACTAAACTGACTAGATTGCACATAGCCACCAATCATGGAATTCCAACAAACAACATCTCTTTACGGCATCCTATCGAAAAACCTTTGTGCATCACCAATCTTATCGAATTTCACAAAGAAATTAATCATTGAACTCCCCAAGAACCAATCACTTTCAATTCCTTTATCCACAGATCTCTTAATAACTTCCATACCCCTTTTATAATCTGATAAGCCCATGCACGCCTTGAGTGCAAATTACACATATAGCTATCAGTCTCCAAATTGCAAGAACCCATCAAACTAAACAAGTTAAGGGTCTCATTGTATCTCTCTTTTCTTAAATACCCATAAATCATGGCATTGCATATAATGGTTATTGGGTGACAAAATTGATCGAACACATGACGGGCATCAACCAAACTACCCAAATCAGAGTAAGCTTTAACAAGCTTTGTAGCCAAAATCTGGTTTTTGAATATAGAACTAGTGATAATCTGGGAATGGTTGGCCTTGACCCAGATCAGTCTTTCTGAAAATTGTTGTAAGAGTGTGAACACTGGCAGGTGATTGACTGAACTGGGAAAATGCGATTGAAGAAGAAGAAGAAGAAACATATGCTGAGAAGCAAGATGAGAGGCAGAGTCTGAAGGGTAATTTGGGAGCAAAGCTGTGGATATGAAGGGCCCATCTTAAAAGTTATGATATATAGAACAACAAACAACAAACAACAAACAACAACTATTGAATTTAGTTTAGCAATTGACCAAGAACAAAACAGAATTCATATGATTTAGAATAGCAATGAAAAGAAATTCATTGTCAAACAAAAGCAACGGAAGCAAATCCTACAACCAAAAACAGAAATGAATCATATACCTCAAATAATTTGACAACATCCCAAATAGAAACTCCTCGTCAAAGACCTGAAGAGAAGAAACATATCGTATAGTAAGAGAAGACGGAGAGAGATAAACCCAAAACCAAAATCATATACATGGTGTGGTTCCAAAAAAAGCATATAGATGGCGAGCAAATCGAAGAAAACATTGACCCTTGAGCGCTTATCGGCACCAAGATCAGCAGCCTCTACAACTTTCTTCCCAGGAGCAATAGAGTATCGAAGGTAACTATCGAGTCGTATATCGTTCTTGCCAATTACATAAAGTGTGGAGCTTCAATTTCTTGAACATGTCATCAGCTCCGGAAGGTAACTGTTGCTCAGAGCAGTGTGCGGTTTCCATGATATTTGTGTTGTGTTGGCATGTTTTTTTAATTTTGTTTTAAATGGTTGTTGTTTTACCGTTTACCCTGTTTTAATTAAATTTCTGATTTTGAAAATTTTACTTCACTAAAGGCATTTGTGGGTTTTTAAAATGTTTCACTTTCAAGCTTTTCCAAGTATTTTAAAGATTTTTGAAGAAAGTGCTTCCGAATTGAGGGGTTGAGTTTAATCTTCGGATTTGATTGTATAAAAAAAGATGCAGGCGCTGTCTACATGGTGTTGAGGAGAGGAGAAAATAAATTAATATGAACTCCATTTCTGAATTATTATTATTAAGGTGGACTGTCTTACAAATATCACAATCACAATTGCGTCTTTCTCAACTTGTTCTATTCTATACAAATGAAATGCACTATATATACTTGTGGTACATAGTGTTGCGTGCAGAACTCCATTTCCACACTGTATATCAAAGTCTTCATCTTGATGTAATTTAATAACTGAGGGTAGAAGGTTATCATGAAATTGTGTCATTTTCAATGAAATTATAATTATTTTAGATATATGATCTGAATATCTGTGATCAGGTTCATACAAAGTGGAACATAAGCTCCATTTACTATATAAGCTAAAGATACAACCTTACATATTTATTGCTGGATTAATTGCTGAAAGAAAGCTTATTTTATTACTTATTTCACAAGGCAGGCATGTCACCAACACAGGTTACTCAGACCACAATGCCTTTAACATGTAGCTAAACAGGAAATAACAGACACAGACAGAGTAGCGAGATTAGACCAAACCATCGGATGAAAATAACCCAATAAAAGCCCTTTACCATCAGATCAGATAGATAGTTGTTTGATGAATATGTCATGTTGTTCATGGCCATGATGGCACATTGAATCTGACATTTCGCTTTGCAGCATCTGTCTGATATTCATCTCGCTTTGCACTTTCCTTCAAGTAGCGCAAGGCTGTCTCCATGTCATCTGTTGGGGTGGTAAGTCTTCCCTCACGACCGGGAGCTGGTGGAGCCCATGTCGAACGGATTGGCCTAGCACCGTTGGATATAATGGTTGGTCCCGTGCTGCCACTATCATTTTTGCGGTGGTAGTCATCGTAGTTGGTGTTTCCATTTGGCTTGTACAATGGTTTGTTGTTGTAGTCACTATAATCACCATAGCCTGTAGTGCCATTATGCCCGGTTTGCTGGGGCTGTTGGCGCCAGTTTACACCGCTCAAGGGTCCAACCCTAGAGGGTTGATCACGGCTTGCTTCAGTGTGGACTTTGGTGAGGAAATTACCAACTTCCCGCGGATAATCATGTTCGGGGCTGGAAGGCCTGCGCAACCTTTGATCATCAGCAGCATAACCATAACCTTTCACAGGGCTTGAAGGCTTGTGCAGCTTGTTGTAATCATCAACAGGATAACCATAACCTTTCACAGGGCTTGAAGGCCTACGCAGCTTGTTGTGATCATCAACAGAATAACCATAACCTTTCTCAGGGCTTGAAGGCCTGCGCAGCTTGTGATCGTCAGCAGAGTAGCCGTAACCTTTCACAGGGCTTGAAGGCCTACGCCACTTGTCATCAGCATACCCGTACTGTTTCACTGGTTCAACAACCACTGTGGGAGGAGAGCTATGCTTGTATGCAGCCGGGAACGCAGGGGCGAGAATACGTTCCTGAATGATTGTCTCAGTTTTTGTTACATAGGCCCCTGGATTATGGAGGGGAGTGCAACCAATGATTGTTCTTTGTGTTCCGTCAGCATCAACGATGACTGTACGACACTCCTCATCTGCATAGCTTGTCTTGCTCCATTCATTGGGGTGTGATCCTGCCCCCTTGCTGTTAGAGTAACCTGATCTATAACCGTAATCATAGCCGGCCATTTCTTAGCCTGAAGCTGTGAACTATATGATTTACTTTGAGGACTTGTTTCTCACTTGAAACATGTTGAGGCCTCTCCTTTAATATATATATATATTGAAAGTACAGATATTTTAGCTTTCTATCACATATGCTTCTTTCTCTGATGCACTTCATCATTCCCTTTCACATTGCCAAAGTGTTGAAAGAATCATATTCTGCCAATTCATGGATTGGGACCACCTCCATTGTTCTGAAGGTCTGATCTTCACTGTTTCATTGGGAGCATAGTTTGATTGAACTTTCGGTCATGTCCCACCCGCAACTATAGACCCTGGTTGGCCATTCTCCACCCACCCATATCACCTCATCTTCAGGACTACTAGGCTTAAAATGTTTCCCCTGAAGATATCCATCAAGGATCAATTCTACACCTTTGGCCCAAATCTAGATTTATTCCCTTTTAGAAAGTCTGAAGAATCATGTTCTGCTCACACATGGATTGAGACATCCATTAACCACGTGATCCCCTGTCATTTCCTCTGTTCTGAGCAATTGCAAATCCACCCAAGTTTCCTCCCTTATTCGTTTAATCTGTGATGTATTCTTAATGTGAACAGAATATAATAAAGAGAATAACTTTACATCCTTTATTCTATCATGCTGGAAATACAAATCTGGCTATTTCTGAAGAAGCTTACAACCAAAAACCATTGTTTCACTCTCTGGCTTGGTCCAGTAAATTCCATATGCTAAATACCGTCGCACACTTCTCTAATATTCTTTAATTCTGGGATTGGTTTCACTCCCACATGAGATTAAGACCTCGACTTCTTGATGTTTCAGCCATAATGTGATGCCTATCTATCTCCTTGATGTTTCAGCCTTGATATGATGCTTCTCTTCGGAAGTTAAATTCTCTGCCAAGAGAACTAAACCGATCCCAGTGAGCTCATACTAAAACCAGATGTTCCAACTGACGAGGTGGCAGTGAGCATGTACACAATGAAGGCTTGCAGACAGCTACAATCGAAGTCATTCTTTATCTCTCTTTTGATTTTGGAGCATGTCATTAGTAGAGGTGTAGTTACGAACAAGGAAAGTCTCTTGTCTTCCATACAATAGCTTACTTCTGACCTGTTTTACACCTTGTGGATTCTTTTGGTTGAATAGTGAATAGGGCAAGTGATATACAACATATGGCAGAGATGTTCGAAGAGCAACTCGATTAGTGCACAGTGCATACTTATGAGGTTATCGTTTGATTGCCATCGCTTATTAGTTTAGATATTATCTTGATATCCATGATCAGGCTGATATGAAGCCGATCAGAAACTATAATTACTTGTTAAGATTATATAGTTACAGAACCCATAATATACTTTGGGCTTAGTTCCTGAAAAGCTTATTTTATTTCTAATTTCACAAAGCAAACATGCCATCATCAGCACAGGTTACAAAGAGTGCACCTCAATGTATTACAGTTCAGCTAAACAGATGCAGATAACAGAAAACAGATAGAGTAGTTAGGTTAGACCAGACCAAAGGATGAAAATGACCCAAGAAAAGCCAAGCTGAAGCATAAAGCACCAAGCACATCAGACATTAGTTGCGTGAATTTGTCATGTTGTTCTTGGCCATGCTGAAGACTTTGCACTCTCCTTCAAGTAGTGCAGGGCCCTCTCCATGTCATCTGTTGGAATGCTGAGTTTGCCATCACCACGAACTGGAAGTGTAGAAGTCCATGTTGAATGGCTTGACTTACCGTGGTAGCCACCGTGTGACGTCAGATTGATTGGCCCCATGACACTATCATGTTTGCGGTTGTGGTGGTAGTCATCATAGTTGTCATTCCGAATGGTGTTTCCATTAGGCTTGTACAATGTGTTGTTGCTGTAGTCACTATAGCCACCATAGCCCGTAGTTCCATTGTATCCAATTTGATTGGGTTGTTGGCCCGAGGTTATGCCATTGAAGGGTCCAACCCTAGGATCACGGCTAGCATCAGTGTGGATTCTGGTGTGGAAACCATCAATGGCGTGTCGTGGTGGGCTTGGAGGCCTACGCCAATTGTCATCAGCAGCATAGCCGTAATTTCTCACTGGCTCAACAGGTGGAGGAGAGCCATGCCTGCATGAAGGTTAACAAAGGTGAGTGAACATGATCATGAATAATTCTCTCGTCTCCAACTTTGTGACATAGCTTTTACCAAAAACAAGAGGAAAAAAAAGTTTGTATAACATAGCTCCCCCGCACTCATCATTGTCAGCAGCATTTGCATACCTTGTTTGGCCCCATTGGTCAGTGTACGATCCTAACCTGTTGCCGGTAGAGTAACCTGATCTGTAACTGTAATCATAGCCGGCCATTGCTTAGTTAGCTTTGAGTTTGGAACTAGCTATATGACTCGACTTCTTTCTCACTTGGAACATGTTGACGCTTCTCCTTGTATATGTACACAACAGCTAGTTGTGCTACTTTTTGAGCACATATTTCCTTTTCTTTATGCACTCCAAGATTCCATTCAAATTCTTCGATTGCTAAATGTTGAAAACGAATCATGTTCTGCTTATCCATGGATTGTGACCTCCATTACCTTCAATTGCAAGACCTTCACTGTTCTGAATACATTGCTTCTACCAGAAAATTGAGGGGGGAGAGAGAGAGAGAGTCTTTCTCCATACATGAAAAATTACGCGATTATTATGATATATTATTGTGTTTCATTCAGCAAATGCCGAATCAAGTTATTGTGTTCCATTCAAGAATCAAACCGACCCTTTTGGCAAAACGCAGATTCTGCCTTTCTAAAATATCTCAAGAATCATGTTCTGCACCCATGCATGGATTGAGACCTCCATTAACCACATGGCATTACCATGTAATTCCCTCTGGTCTGAGTTCCAACTTTACTTCCTCATTATTTTAAGTCTCTCATTATGGATTCTATATAGAAAAGGCAATCACGTTGCATCCTTTATTAGAGATATTGTTGAGTACTTTCTTGTTAATTTCTGTTCACAGAGGGACATTTACTTCTTTTTTCTTCTGTTTTTCAGGCTATAATGCTTCTTCTTAGACCCCAATTTCAAGTTTGCAACAAAAGATTCAGTATTTCTTTTGAAAAAGATAACAGGTAAAAAAAACCCCATTAATTTGGGCCGCACCAC